GGCTGCTCTGTTACTCTTCCAATACCTGCGTACTGGGTTGCAACCAATCTCTCAGGCGACATGACTAGTGCCATGCAAGTGCCGTCTCAGTTGGTATCAATCAACATGCAAGGATAAACTTCGACAGGACTGAGGCGGTCTGATTATCATCTGCTCTGACTACTTGTAAATCCAGACCATAACTTTATGCAAGCCGCAACCCGCCATGAACGAGACTGTAGAAAAAAAAAAAAAAAAAACATAGAGAACCCCCAAAAGCAAAGCAAATGCCCCTTCCGACCCTTGACGCCTGTGACGTGCGACTCACTCACTCACTCTCAGAGCAACACGTCAAATATGATGGCTCTCGTGTGCTACCACCCGAATACCATAAAACTCCTCTGCATGCGCGAGCAGTGCAGTATCGCGCCCGCCATGCATAGAATTCTGCTAGAAAGCAAGCCCCGACACATGTAAAACAGCTCGTGGCTCTCAAATCTTACACTTCCGGTACTGGATACGACGTGAATGCGCTGTTTGTTGTGGCTCAAACATCCTTCCACGATCCGATGCCCTTTCTGCAGCCTTGCGTCAAATAGTAGTTAGTGTGATCGCTGCGGGTATGGCCATTACTGTGACTTTATTGCTCGCCTAGGAGACGCGCCGTGACATCTCCCATGTAGGCTTCTTCCATCTCGTAGTCTTCGCCGCCATTGCGATCTATACCAACGAAAGCAAAAGCCTCGACCACACTGTCAAGTTCGAAACCCATATTCACAAAACGGTCGACCATGTTTTTATTCCAGCCCTGATATCTGATTTCAAGGCATCGTTAGTATCAGAACAGCCATTCTTGGTGTAGTGGCGCGTCGTTTCCACAACAAGATGGTTTCATACCTGTTAATGTCGTCATCCTTCTTGATCTTGCTCTTTCGCTGTATCTGGTCGGGAGTAGGGTGAACGCGCGGGGCTCCAGCATAGCGGACGGCCCAATCGTGTGCAACGCTCTCAAAGTATTCGTGGTCTTCGAGCATCATCTTGGCGACCTCGGCGTCCTGGGGGTCTTTGGGATTCGGCGCTTCGAGAAGCATGCGTAGGGATAGTAGGGCGGTCTTGATAGTGCCAACAGGAGACCATCCGTTGCCAAGGACGTCGAGACAAATCGCACCCTAAAACACAGTAAAGCTAGATCAGGATGCGGCCTCCACAAGACTGTCTACCGCCACCGAGGCCAACTCACGGTCTGGCTGCTGATATTGGGATGCCACATCTTGGTGTCGAACTTCATTATGGGCGATTTGAAGGGGTACATGTCGGGAATTTGGATGTCAACCACATAAGTGCCACCAGCATATGGAGTATCTGGGGGACCGGGAAAGGTGCCCTTCAGATGTGTGAGGTTGCTCTGGTCGATAGGAGAGGCTGAGACACCCGACTTGTCTCTGTCCTGGTGCATGTCGGCCAGCTCTTTTGCAATCCTGCGTTCTCGTGTGGTGGCCATCTTGGGTGGGCTGTTTCTTGGCTGAACGTCGTGGGCGCGGGGGTGTATTTGGCAGAGGCTGGCACTCGTGGCCGACGGGGGCAGAAGATTACTGGGTGGGCTAGGTCAGTAACGTGAATGCGTTCGCAAGCGGGCGTAGTGGAATGCATACCAACGCAGGAGAGTTGCTCCGTTGAACAGGATGCGTGCAACAGCCCAGCCTAGAGTAGACTGGCCAGAAATGACCCTGTGGGCGCTGCTCCTCTGTGCTCCTCTGTGATCGGCGACAAGACAGCAATAGTAGAGCAAAGGCAAGGTACAGCTTTGGAGCTGATGATGCGTAGCTAGAGTGTGCGTTCTTCAGTGAGCAAAGGCGTGCAGTGTGCTGGCACAGCTTGTAACAGTCGGGTTGATACTTGGCGTATATGAGGCTGGTGATATGCTACAGGAGAGATGCTGCACGCTGTGCTATGTATACTACATGCTGTAACACTATCTCTGGACCCGCATGCCTAAGTTAAAAAGTACATAAGAGCATTAGAGTACTTTCATCAGCCTGCATTCAACATTGTCTACAACTTGCCAACTATAATAATACATCAGTTAATAGCAAAGCCACTGCGTATTCTAGGTACCTGCTCTAAAGGCAGCTGGATGCTAGGTACTCAAGGTCGTGACTTCATCAATCAGCATGCCGAGAGGTCTTGGCTAGTGGTGGCCTATACTTGAGTACTTGGGCCTGGACGGTCATAGCCACTCAGCGAGCCACCTATGTTACTATGATGTAAGAGCCAGGAGTTCAAAAACACTGGCTGTGATACATAGTCCTTTGTTGATACTGTCAAGTTGAGAGACTATGGAATTTGAGAGTCTAAATTCAAGAAATCTAATCGACTGCAACCGTACCTCGGTAGATGTTTGAACGGGTACAGGTGCATGCAGGCCATAATCGAGCACCCGGAGGCATTATTACGGGCACACCTTGCAGGCTTACAGGCCTAGACCCACAGGGTCCGACTCAGCTTCAGAGATGCATCCTACCAAAGAGGTACGTGCCTAGGTACCCATCCCATTGCGTAGTTTCCTTGCCAGCCTGCACCTAAGCAAGAGGAGCTGCGTGGTTGTCCGGCAGCCTGATTAGCTAACTCAGCGTGTACCTCTTGTGCAACAACACAGCCCAGTGGGCGACAACGCTTGCGGTCTGTTCCATCTCGATACAACAACGCTCCGCTATCCCGACCCAAACACCTGCAACTCGCTCCCACTCACCACTCTTCGGATCTTGGACAGGTCTTGGCTTTGATATTTGTGCCATCTCATTTCGCATTCAGCCTGTCACGCTGTTTGCGCAGCGCTGAGCCGCAATCATGGTATGCCGATACCTTCGCACTTGACTCCAGCACTGCTTCATTGTCTACGCCGCACGCTTGACAGCTTCTCAAAAGGAATCATCAGCTGACCTTTCTCTTTGAACAGGGTCAGAATCAGTCGGGCATGGGCGGCCAGGATGGCCGTGACGACAAGGACAAAAAGGTATGTGGTGCTTTCCTGACTCCCCCGGCTTGCTGTCCACGGTGGCGATCCTCTTGCTGCCCGCCTTGCTCATTTGCTAACACTGCCTCATCTTTGCAACCAATGTAGAAGGACAAGCCCAAGTATGAGCCTCCCCCGAAGCCCACCATGCGCGTTGGACGCAAGAAGAGAAAGCAGGGTGGAACCAGCGCTGCCGCCAAGCTACCTGCCGTCTACCCGAGCCAGCGTTGCAAGCTCCGTTTGCTGCGCATGCAGCGCATCCACGACCATTTGCTTCTCGAAGAGGAATATGTCGAAAACCAAGAGCGTCTCCGCAAAGCAAAGACTGCGAAAGACAACTCTGCTCCAGCCGCTATCGACGATGCCGCCGATCGCAACGCTGACGAGCGTGGCCGTGTTGATGACATGAGGGGCAGCCCAATGGGTGTTGGCACTCTCGAGGAAATGATTGATGACGACCATGCTATTGTCTCGAGCACAACAGGCCCAGAGTACTACGTCAGTATCATGAGCTTTGTCGACAAAGACTTGCTCGAGCCCGGCGCCAGCGTCCTCCTGCACCACAAGAGCGTCAGCATTGTTGGCGTCTTGACCGACGACACGGATCCTGCCGTCAGCGTCATGAAGCTGGACAAGGCGCCAACCGAGTCGTACGCAGACATTGGCGGTCTGGAACAACAAATTCAAGAGGTCAGAGAGTCGGTGGAGCTTCCGCTGCTGCACCCTGAGCTGTACGAGGAGATGGGCATCAAGCCACCTAAGGGTGTCATTCTCTATGGCGCACCGGGAACTGGAAAGACTCTTTTGGCGAAGGCCGTTGCGAACCAGACATCTGCCACTTTCTTGCGTATCGTTGGCTCCGAGCTGATTCAAAAGTACCTTGGTGATGGACCTCGCCTGGTCCGGCAACTTTTCCAGGTAAGTCTAGTACTCTCTCAAAGCAGATTGATAATACATTCTACAAGTCTGTGCTGTTGCTGATTCAATGCCAGGTCGCCGGCGAGAACGCTCCTTCCATTGTTTTCATCGACGAGATTGACGCCATTGGTACGAAACGGTACGAATCGACATCGGGCGGCGAGCGTGAGGTTCAGCGGACTATGTTGGAATTGCTTAACCAACTGGATGGCTTCGACGATCGTGGTGATGTCAAGGTGATTATGGCAACGAACAAGATTGACACGCTGGACCCCGCTCTCATTCGGCCTGGACGTATTGACCGCAAGATTCTCTTTGAGCCTCCGGATCAGAACACCAAGCGCAAGATTTTCAACCTCCACACCTCCAAGATGAATCTCAACGAAGACGTGGAATTGGAAGAGTTCATTGCGCAAAAGGATGATCTTTCTGGCGCCGATATCAAGGCCATTTGTTCCGAAGCTGGACTCTTGGCTCTTCGGGAGAGACGTATGCGGGTGCAAATGTCAGACTTCCGCTCGGCCCGTGAAAGAGTGCTCCGCACAAAGCAGGAGGGTGAGCCGGAAGGTTTGTACTTGTAGTCGTGCGTTGCCAATCGCTGTAGCGGCAGTGGTGGTAGTGGGAATTCTCTAGTTAGTCGGGGTGGACAATAGTGACACTGCTATAGACGAAAAACCCTATGCACTGGTCGTCCATTCGTTGTGAACTGACGGCTTTGTCTGCTTGCATTTGCGGTTCCGGTGACAACCCTCCTGACTTTGTTGTGTGTACGTGCAGCGCGTAGCAATGCCGCAAAAGAGTTTACTTCAAGCTACATAGTATTGCTCAACAGGCATGGTAATCGCTTGAGATCAAGGGATCTACACATGCCACCACACGATATGACCATCTGCCATCGATTGACCTACAATTCTAAGAGTTCGTATCTCAGTCATTCGCAATACATGTTCAATGCAAACCGAACGGGCTGCGGCCATTTAAAAAACTGCCAACAGCAATATAATTGAAGTTGGCATGTGATGCGAGTATGAAATTCCAATTGTGACTATATAATTACAAATTCAGCGAGTGATTTCAACAATCAGAAACAGTCTGAGTGGCTCAGTTGGTTAGAGCGTTGGTCTCATAGCATGACCCGGTGGATCAACCATCGGGAGCACCAATCCAAAGGTCGTGAGTTCGAGTCTCACCTTGGACATCTGATTTCTTTTTGGCTTTTTTTTCCTCTTCCCGCATTGCGTCCTGGCAAGCCTGGCTCGATATTGATGACTTTGTTTGGCCGGATTCTTTTCTTTGTTACCGTCGCTCGGTGCAGGACACACAATCTTTGTACAGCACTTGGATGTGATCTTTGGGGACAGAATTGCTCGGGCTGTGCATTATCTACTGTTGCTCTGAGCACTGGTCCAGTAATTTGAATGACCTCAGCCACATACCAAACAACTTGGAGGTTTACTGACTGGCCTCAAGCTCGTCTTTGCCATTCGCTCGCATTCGGAAGCGAGTTGTCCGAGCGTGGCTATGTGGCAGCAGTGTGCGTGGTCCGCAGCAGCAAGAATATGACATCACTGCGGCTGTCACATACTTTCAAGTACAGTAGCAGGAGAACCAAGCCACGACAAACGAGCTAGGTGCTGGTTGGCTGGCTGGCTGGCTGGTTCAGTACAGTACAGTAGACTTGATTACAATCAGCATTGGGGCCAAGTATATTATCCTGCCCGTTATTTTACCACGGTGTCGCACGTGGTCGCGAAGCGAGGCGTAAACCGCCACAGACGACGTGTTCTGGATGCTGGCGACAGGAATCCGGATTGTAGCATCAATCAAGTCAAGACCTTGATTGACACGGACAGGCCTATATATAAACTTACCTCATCGCTCATCTCATCTAGATGTCACTCTTCAAGACTCAAAGTTTAATGGTCTTTTTCTGAAGAGATCTACTACAATTCCTTGCTCCTGTTGTTCCAAGCGCTATTCAGCATATCTTCATCATCACGCGTCGTCTTATTCTTCGTAATACTACTGGCATCTTCACTCATTGATACCCTCCAGGAGTCTAGTGCCGGTCAACAAACATGGCAGCCTCTGAGTACCCTGAACATCAGAATCCAGCTCATCACGGCGAGACAGTCAGTCGGGGCAATACAGCACCGCCATACCAAGAATATGTAAATCAGTACCCTCCGCCTGCCTCGACCTACGATGCTGGCACCACGCAAGAACACCCACCACCAATGCCGCCGCGACCTCAGCAACAGCAGCACGATTATGCTTCAGCTCCTTCTCATCAGCAGCCAGGTGTAGTCGCAGGTGGTAGCGGCGGAGTAACTCATGATGAAAGCAATATGAACAGCAACACCAGCAGCAAGCCTACGGTCCGAGAGCGCCTGTTCCATTGGAGCACCAAGGTCGGTGTGCCCATCAACAAGTTAACCAACAAGCTGGGCTCTGAGGCGTGGTGGCCGTCCACGCTCGACATTGAGTCTGACAAGGCTGCGCGGATTCTCCAGTCTTTTACTAGTATGTTAACCCTTAACTCCTTTTTCGCTTACAGCGCTAAACTGATGTCTCCCTCGTCCTCGTCCAACAGAAGACGGCTTCTATATCAAGGACACAGCAAGCAAGGACTCGTCCTCGTTCTCGTCCTCGTCACCCCAGACTCCACAACCACCCCAAACGCCCAGCACCAACACCAGCACCAGCACCAGCCCACAAGGCGGCCCCAAGCAAAAACCCAAAGTCCTCGTCAAGATCCCCCAGAAAGCAATCGAATCCGCCGCCGGCCTCGCCATCTTCACCACCTTCCGCACCGGGCTCCACATTTCCGGCGCCGGCGGCTCGGGCGTCCTCGTCGCCCGCCTCCCCGACGGCTCGTGGTCCCCGCCCTCGGGCTTTCTCGTGCACACTCTCGGCGCAGGCTTCATGATTGGCCTCGACATCTACGACTGCGTGTGTATCCTGCGCACGCCCGAGGCCGTGGCGGCGTTTACGCGTCCCCGGCTGTCGCTCGGCGGCGAGATTGGCCTTGTTGCTGGCCCCGTCGGCGCGGGCAAGGCTGTTGACGCTGCTGTGGCGCAGAGCACCAAGCCTGTTTGGGGCTATGTCAAGAGTCGGGGTCTCTATGCTGGTGTGCAGGCGGACGGGACGGTGATTATATCGAGACCCGACGCAAATGCGGCGTTTTATGGGCTCAAGGGTATCAAGGTCAATGATATCCTCCAGGGCAAGGTGCCGACACAGGGTCAGGATGCTATGTGGCCTCAGGGCGGCCGACATTTGATGGAGGTGCTCAAGAGCGCTGAGGGCAAGGCAAATGTGGATCAAGCATTGCTCAAGGAGATTCATGACGAGCCGACACCAGGCGACTTTGGAATCGGCGATCCTGGTCATAAGGCGTAGATTGCTTGACAGCAGTGAGATGTTCAAATTCAATGTTATTATATTTCATGATTCACCATGAGACCGTGATGGGCCACCTTAAGCCGAAAGGTGTCCTGATCTGATAGAGAAAGTAGTCGACGTGCTTTTTTTGGTTGCTCTTTACTCCTCCTCTAATGGCCATGGACAGTTTCACAAGCATGCTAATGGAAGTGGAATGGGAGTGACTATTCTAGTATTCACTACTCATCATCCTTGATGTCGAAAGACTTGCACGCTCCCGAATATGCTTGTGTAATAAATGTCAGGAAACAACAGTGACTCCAGTGCTGCTAGAACGGCAGTCAGAACCAATCAAATCTTTTTGGGAGTCGTGGAAGGAGAAGAAGCAGCGACCCCATGAAAGTATGATCGAATATCAATGGTTCGCATCAAAACTTCATGAGGAACCCATCTCAACCTCTCTTGGAATCCTCTGTATAGTAAAACACACGAGTTTCGTAGCTTGCACCAACACATCATAAAACACTGGCATACACAATCCTTCTTTTTCGCCAAGAATCCGGTGCTCTTTGGGTATCAATAATTGTGTGCACCTGACGCGGCCAACTAAGCCTCTCGGAACCTAAAGGATGTGTGCCACAAGTAACAGTTGGCTGTCAAACAGCATATAACTCGATGCTTTCCCAACGCCCCGCTCCAGAACGCCTTGTGCAAAGGATGTGTGCCACCATCAGGTCACATCCGAAACCATGCCGTGTTGGACATGATATATCTATAGGAAGGGTTGTTTGATGCGCACTCCAAGTTGATAGATGCAGTTGCATCATGGTCCCTACCAATTTAGAGAGAGCTTGGGCTACTGCGGCTCGAAGTTGACATGTTCTGACTGTCGCCCGTCTGAGTAGGTTGAATCGGTTGGACGACAAGCGTGCTGGGAAGACCAGACTCCACGATTGCTGTACTCGGTCCCGCACCGCTATCTGAATTCATGGGTGCCATATTGGCCGAGCGCTGTATAGACGGGGTTTGCATAGGCGTAGCGTCCATAGGCATTGCCATCTGATGATGTGGTATTCCAGATATCGAGAGGCCAGAGAATAGAGTGCCCGGTACAGGTGCGCTGTGCGAGTGCGCTTGGTCTGGATACCACTGTTGAATCTGAGGGTTCCATGTGAAGCCGTTAGTCGGGCCCTGAGGTCGTGCAGGCGGAGGCGGCGGAGGCGGGATTATGGCATCTAGACTGGCGCCGGCAGGGCCTTGAACATCTTGATCGTTCTCGTTCGGTCCAGGAGGAACAGCGTCAATCACCATCTCGCTGCCGTCGAGGCCGTCGTCGTCCTCGATTGCATCTCCCCGCTCATCGAAGCCGTTGTCGGGGCCTACGTGGTCAACATGATGGTGCACAGCATCGTATACGAATTCAACGGGGTTATTGGCATGGCGTGGATGTCCGGTAGGAGTCTGATCACGAAGCTGGGCGAATGCTGGATCACTGTTGAGGTGCCGGCGAAGACTCGAGACGCCGTTACCCGAGAACACGCAAAAGACAGTTCGCTGGTGCTCGGTGAATTCTAAAAGCAAGCAAGCACAAGGCGGCCGATTAGTCAGGGCTCAAATGGCTTAGGCAGAATGTGAAGTGGTCGTCAAGGCGGGAAGACATACCGGTCGGTGCGTCACGGCAAAATTGTTCGAGATCTTGCCTCAGAAAAGCTTGCACTCCCGTAAGACTAAGGTGAGTTAATCGGGGACAAGAGTTGAGAAGCTTCATGATGCTCTGCAGATCGTGTCAGTTAACTAGAGACTCTTGACACAGCAATAAAGAGCTCATGAGACCATATCTTTACCTTTAAAGTCAGCTGCGTGCAGTAGCTCAAGTGTACCCGCTCCAGACTGCTTCCGCTAGCATAATAGTCTGCCGTACTTCTTGATTCGGGATCTCTAGGCCTCCGGAATCTCAGGTTGGCCTTGGCAAGAGCATAGACGGACACGTCTGTAATGTTGTTGCACTTGACCAAACCGATTCTCTTGAGCTTGGGTAACACAGCAAGTCGTGTAACAGATTCGTCCGTCAAGTGTGTACAACAGCCTAGGTCAATGTATCTGATCCGGTTGCAACAGTGCACCAGACGCTTCACAGCCTCGTCTGTGAGGTTGACGCAATGTCCCAAATGCACATAGTGTAGGTTCTTGCCTAGTCGAGAAATGGCAAATACGGCTTGGTCTGTGATGTTGCGGCACTTGGCAAAAACGACATTCCGCAGACGAGGGGCAGCATCAATAATCCTCTCCACAGCGCGGTCCGTGATCTTGACGCATGATGTGAGGTCGAGTATGCGGAGGTGTTCGTACACCTGGCCTGCTGGCAGGGAGAGAAAAGCACCGTCATCAACCAGTTCGCAATTCGCCAGTCTCAATTCCCTAAGTGACTGTCCCTTGACCAAAAGAGCCGTAACCGGGCTGTTTCCAACAAGTTTGCATTGCTGGAGGTCAATCTCGAGTATGTTTGGGCAGTATTCTGCAAAAGCATGGACGGCGTCGTCGGAGATTTGATCACAATCGTTCAATTTGAGCTGCAAACACACAAAACATCAGCACAAGTCAACAAGTCACAGAACAGTCAAGCACTGGTGTTGAGAAGAAAAGCCTCGAAAGGACCTGACGTCTGGCCCAATGCGTGCATGACCAAAGACGTTTGCAAAGAGAAAAGGCAAGGGGAGAACATACCCGCTTGAGAAGCGTGCAGGCTTTTGCCAGAGGAACGAGTGATTCGCTGGCGATTCTGACACAGCTCGAGATGTTCAGCCCTTGCAAGCG